CAGTTTGCCCACCATCTACTCATGTACTTGACTAATTGATGACTTTGCAAGCTGGCTCATCCTTACTCTCGCCTAAGTTCTGCATCAGTTCTGGGGACATCACTGTGTGCGTGGGTTTGATCTACTACTCTAGCCTTCAATTCTGAATATTTCATGTCACCACACTTCAGATAAGCAAAGCCATGGACCTGTGCTCATCTAGCAGTGCCCTGTGCCTCCAAGATAAAGGACTCTTCCAAACATCTGCTCACCTCCTTAGAGCACGACCTACATCAATTCCTTGATTAAACAAAACCTACAATGGCAAGTTCTTTTTCATGTCTTCCTTCTCAGGGTTCTCCCAATTCTCCTACTTTTAGACACCAACAAGATAAGGATGTTACTCATGCAATGGTTCTGTGAGGTCATGATACATTATCTCCTTGGACATCCTATGAGATGCTTGCTGCTCCTCACCAATGAACTTTGTTCACAATTTCATAATGACCATGTTCTCCTTATGAAATCTGTTCAATTTTTAAAAAATTTTTATTGTGATGTGAGCGCACATTAACAAAGTAGATTCGTTTTACTCTATACAATTCATACATATTTGGTTTCACTGGACTGATTACAATCCCAACAATAAACAGTTCTTCTCCCACCTCCTGCCCGTCACTACCCATTCATCGTCCTTTGTTCAATGTTTTTCTATAATCTTTTTTTTTTTTCCTAATTTTTTTAAAAAAAGAACATTTCAAATATTTCACTTCGTTCTGCAGATCATGAGTTTGGTTTGTATCCATTGAACACCACTGTCATAAAAACCAGAAAGACTATTTTGACTGTAGTTTTTAATAAGCCTATCATAAGCTTGAATATAGGCTTTAAACCCAGATGGGTATTTCCCACAAAACGTACAGAGAAAAAGGTGAGGGAGAAGGCCAAACCTTTAAAGATACAGATATGGTCACATTTAGCCTAGAAAGCATCAGGCCTGCAGACTTCTCTCTCTGTCAGAATACTTGACTATTGTAAGTCATATGGCTTTAAGCACTTACTATGTATGCCAAGGAAACTTACAAACCCCACCTTATATGCCAGCTGTGACATGTGGAAAACTCAGCTCCTGTCCTTTAGTTCTGACACCAACTGCACTATGCAGACACCAGTGGGGTTAGGCCAGACCCCACAAGTTTAATCAGGCAGACACCAGCGGACAGTCTGTAAATCTGAATGATCTCCAACTTCTGATCTGGTGGCAAAACATATGTGGGTTCCCTCTAACCTCCCAAAATGACCAGGCCAGACATCCCAAGTCTCTTACTTTTGAGCCTCTTTTTGGATGAATAATTAACTTAGAATGATTCACAGAATTCAGAATAAGGCCATCTTTGGGAATTGTGTGTCAACTTGGCAGGGCAGCTGGATGTAGTTATTCCCCGTGATGAGACTGGTCATCAACTCCATGGTGGAATCTACTGGAGCAGCTGGGTAGCTGCCTTAAGGATGTGGTCGGCTTCCAGTACATAAGCAGCAGCACTGAGAAAGGTCTCTGGAGATTTTTGGCATGCTTGGACCCCTCACATAACCAAGTCTTCCTTCAGCAGCCTGCCATGTTGTCTGCTGATCTTAGAATTACCCCTGGACTTGAACTAGTGGCCTCCTATGTTGCGTGATAATCCTGGCACTATTCCATTTTATTTGTTGACCTTGGGCTTGTTAGCCTCCGGAGCCAGCAGCTGCCTGTGTGAAGAGACATCTCCAGCTCCAGTGGGCTGGGAGCAAGAGGCAGAGCTGAAGCCCAAGGTCTAGTGGCTTTCACCATCCAGCCCTTAAAACTGGCCATCTGCCACAGACATCTAACCTCTTGAAGTAAAAAAGAAGAAAACTTTTGGTGTAAAACCACCCATTTGTAGCCTTTTCTGTTATAGGGGCGCTAGAGGACTAAAACACCACCCACCCACAGGACAATGCCTTAAATATATAGAAAAGGATAGAAGTGATGACACGCATGGGGTCAGGTCTGGTAGGGTCCAATGCAGAGCCTCCACGTCCTCTGGACATGCTAGCCTGCACCTGGAGGCTGGGTTATCACCAAGGAAGATGCTTCCTCCACCATTCCACTGTCTAGTTTATTAGCCAGTGTGTACGTCAATGCTAAAAGATGCCTCAAGAGATAAGCATGGACTCTACTGGAGCAGCTGAGTAGCTGTCTTAAGGATGTGGTAGGCTTCCAGGGATAAGAGATAAGAGGGACCAGGTGGTCCCTCTGATCTTACCCACCCTCACGATTAGCCTCAGCTGCAGTCCCCCTCAGCTCAGTAATTTCAAACAAAGGTCAAATTGCTTTCTGTAAAGTGACTCATCACCTCACAGCAACCCCAAAATTACCTCATCAACATAATAAGAATCAGCAAATAAAGGGTTGTGGCTAACAGGAGCCAGGGGTATTACTATTAGAGAAAGACTGAGTTGTAAAGGACAAAGGCTCAATGACCCCTGTGGTATTGTCTTGTGGTGTTTCAAATACACATGGACAGGCATAAATCTGCCCCCTTGTATGTGTTTATTCACAAGCACATAGTCCCTGCTCTTTCCAGTTTGAAGGCCCCGGAGCAAGAAGCATACCTAATACCCAGACCTTGTTTTTAGCATCACTGAGTAAGGAGAGGAACCAGGAATTCTTCCAGGAAAGACCGATTCTAGTGCCCAGGGAGGAATAGGAATAGCACAAGATGAGCCTCATACACCAGCAGAAAGTAAAGGACAAATTATAATAGGTCTGTCGGAACACACAGGACTAGGGAGCTCCTAATCATCAAATATAGGGCTACTTGAGGAAGTGGCAGTCTGGTCCATAAACATTTACAGCCATGGAAACCCAAAACAGGTTGTGATGAATCAGAATCAACTCAATGGCAATGAGTTTGGTTTGCTTTAGAGTTTGGAGGAAGAAAAGTAACATGGATTAGCCTAGAAAGGCAGTCCCAAAGGTTACTAACATCCAATTTACTATGTCCTGTAGTTACTACCCAGCCCCCTTAATGCCATTACAAATTATGACCCCTCCTGTAAGAACTCAAGCTCTACATCCTTGGCCGGTTGACAGTGTGGTGTCTCCCCACTGCTCTCTCTCTACTTGGCGCTACATGAATCCTAGCACCCTCTGTGACATAAAATGGACAGCTGCATCTACCTTACCCCACAGGCCACACAACCCTGAAGTGGTGGATCACAGGCACAGAGTTCTGGCAGGCAGTGTCCTCCCTCTGGAGGGTGAAGTGTCATTTCAAGAGGGAATCCAAAGGAGGAATAAAGGTATATAATAACAAGTGGCTGCTACTTTGCAACAAGCATTAAAACATTAGTATTATTATTATAAATGTATTACTATGTGAAGCATTGTGAGGATAGCGCAGGACCGAGAATGTCTGGTTCTCTTGTACATGGGGTTGCTTTGAGTTTGAGCCAACGCGAGAGCACCTAACAATAACAATAATATGTTACAGTGATTCCACTGTATCTGGACATGATTCTTTAATGTTTTTCAAGCATAGAAAGGTACACTGTATACTAAGACAAACATATGACTAACTGGTATTACAAATGACCTACATCTAACTGTTGGGACTTACATACAAATTTGATTTAAAGACAGACTCAAAAATGGAACTTGTTCCCATTTCGGGAGCTATCTGTCCTGGAATAAATAAGCAAATAAACAAAAGGGAGAACAGGGGATAGATATTGTGTCTTGCAGAATTCCAATTAATCAACTTAAAACAAATGGTTGGAACAGAAAATATCACTTGGTATCCACCAGAGTCATAACAATCATAGGCAATAACTATCAACAGACAGTAAATTTAAAGAAAGATGAAAAGAGAACATATGCACAGCTTCAAACATGAGACTTATTCATTATAAAGAGTAAACTAGTTAAATTACAACAGGAAAGAATGCACCAAAATGTGTTATATATGAAAATAAAATACTCTTAAATATGGGTGCATTTGTTTGTAAGATGACATCATTAAAAAAAACAAAATCACATTTGCCCAAGGGTGTTCCCTGTACCCTCATATGTAACAGGTAAAGACTTTTTGATCACGTTGTGCTACCATTACAATCTCTCCCCAAAACATTCCACCATCATTAGTATAAATTCCATGCCCCACAAGCAAAAGGTTCCCCCCTCCCCAACCTCCCACCTCTGGTAATCACTAACCTTTAGTTTCCATATATATGAATTTTCTTTTCCCTCAGCCTATCTAGGAATTTAACCTCCCCACCCTCCCATCCCTGGTAACTAACAAATAAAGTATCCTACCATGTATAAAGTTTTACTTGAGTTTTTACAATAGTGAACTAATATAGTATTTGTCCTTCTGTGATTGACATTTCACTCAGCATAATGTCCTCCAAGTTCATCCACGTGATGCAGTGATTTGCAGATTCTACAACATTCTTTAGAGCTGCACAGTATTCCACTGTGTACCACAGTGTTTTGATCCATTCCTTGGCTGATGGGCATGTAGGTTGTTTCCATAACTTTGCTATTGTGAATAGTGCTGTGCCAAATATGTGTGTGCATATATCTCTTTGTGTCCTGCCTCTCACTGCTTTAGGATATATACATAGTAATGGGATTGCTGGATCAAACTGTATTTCTATTTCCAACTTTTTAAGGAATCAATAGGCAAAGACTTTAACTTAAAAAAATGAAAGAAAAAGTGACAAACACTGATGACGGCAATCCTACAGTTACAATTAATTTCATTTCTCCCAAAGGCACAAAGTATCTCTAATGAACCTTTCCTATAGTATTGCTTCTTTATTCAAGGAGAAACTTTGTTCCTTCAACATAGACTTTTGGTAATTTGCCATCTCAGATGATCAGAGTAAGAATTACACACCCTACTGCTGACAGTCATCTCTCCACTGCGAGTTCTTACCTGTGAAGATGTGGGGGATAATGGAAGGTTCTCCCACATGCATTCATAATGCCTCTCCACTGTCTAATCTTGTACACACAGGAAGGTTTGAGGCTTAAGTTTGAGGCTTAAGGCTTTCGCACATTCCTTACACTCAAAAGGCCTCTCTCCAGTGTGAGTCCTTATCAGTTCAGAGACTTACTGGCAATGAAGAAAGACTTTCCCACATTTCTGAATCACAGGGCCTCAATGCATGGTGCATACCTTTATGTTTAGTGAGGTGTGATGACTGGCTAAAGGCTTTCCCACATTGCTTACATTTATAAGGCCTCTCTCCATTGTGATTTGCCGTATGTGTTGTGAGGGATGCAGAACACTTAAAAGCTTTCCCACACTGGTTACACTGAAAAGGCTTCTCTCCATTGTGAGTTCGCAAATGGTTAGTGAGGGATGAGAAATAACGAAAGGCTTTCCCACATGGCTTACATTCAAAGGGCCTCTCTCCACTGTGAGTTCGCATATGGTTAGAGAGCGATGAGAAATAAGGAAAGGCTTTCCCACACTGCTTACATTCAAAAGGCCTCTCTCCACTGTGAGTTCGCATATGTTCCCTGAGTTTTGAGGACCACCTAAAGGCTTTCCCACATAGCTTACATTCAAAGGGTCTTTCTCCTGTGTGAGTCCTTATATGCATAGCAAGGTTTGAGGAGTATCTAAAGACTTTCCCACATTCCTTACACTCATAAGGCCTCTCTCCACTGTGCATTCTTACATGTGCAGTGAGTTGAGAGGAACATCTAAAATCTTTCCCACATTCCTTGCATTCATAAGGTCTCTCTCCACTGTGAATTCTTCCATGTGTAATGAAGTTTGAGGAATTGCTAAAGGCTTTCCCACAGTCCTTACATTTATATGGCAACTCTCCACTGTGAGTCCTTTTATGTTGAGTAAGGTGTGAAGTCCTACTAAATGCTTTCCCGCATTCCTTACACACATAAGGCCTTACTCCACTGTGAGTCCTTTTATGTTGAGTGAGGTATGCGGTCTTACTAAAGGTTTTCCCACATTCCGTACATTCAAAGGGCCTTTCTCCACTGTCAGTTCTTATATACTTAGTGAGGTGTGAGGAATGTCTAAAAGCTGTCCCAGATTCCATGCATTCATGAGATCTCTCTCCACTGTGGACTCCTACATGTTGAGTGAGGGATGACAAATGATTAACAGATTTTCCACATCCCTTACATTCACAAATCTTATGTCTATTATCGAATGTTTCAGGCAAATTAAGAGATGAAGCACAACTATGGGTTTTACCCTCTTTACATTCAAGCTTATAACCTCTCACAGGTGCCCACAAAGATGATAAACTACGGAAATCATTCCCAGATTCGATACATTCATAGCAATTCTTACCAGTGAGAGATGTCACAGGATTCTTAAGGGTTGCCATGAAGTTGACACCCTTCCCACATACCTTACATTTTTGGAGATTCTTTCCATTAAGAGTTCTCATAGGAGTGGTCAGGTTAGAGGGACAACTGCAGCCTTCTCTACCTTCCTTACACTGACAGGAATTACATGCAGTTTGAGACCAGGCAGGATGTTTATGTGATGAGTGATCCACGAAGGGTTTTCCACACTCACAGCTTTCCAAAGGATTTACTCCTGGAAGACTTCTTGGTACCACAGGGAGATTTAGAATACGGCTGGAAGTTTGCCCACATGGATCGCCTTCACGACTTTCACAGAGGCTCTCTACTGTATGCCTTCTGTTAAAAATAGGTAATACGCAGTAGGAAATAAATTGGGTCACACTTCACCATCACCAAACACAGTGAATGTGCATAGTTTTTACCTAACTCATCTAATTTTCATGGGTTAAATTATGAATCTGAGTGACTACCGTTTTCACTATTTTTCTAAAATATGATTTTCTAATCATTGGGTAGGAGTGAAATGTTTTAAATATTCAGAAGTTCACTTACAGTTAGGAAAATACCAAATTGTGAAAATTCCTCAAACATAATTTCCAGCCAGGTTCATTTATAGAAAACAAACACATCTGTATGTATATGAAATAGTGTGTAACAAGACTGAAAACTGCTCTCAACAATTTAGCAATTACCAAAATCAAGGAGGGCATCGTACCCATCACACAGCAACCTAATGTGTTGGGATCAGATTTTGACCTGAGTAGGAAACAAATTGCTTTGCCTACTCAAACGTGGTGGAGGATGATACCACTGTGATGTGTGTTGCTCTTCACAGTTTTGCCAATAATTTGATTTCTCACACAGATCTTAAAAGTTTTATGAGCATGAGGTGTGGTACTGGATTACTGGGAGCATGGTGCAAACACTCATACATTCAAAGCAGCATAGTGAGCTGCCATTTCTGAGTGGGCACCGCTGATCAATTCCTATTTGGGTTAAAATCCAAAGGGCAATAGATGAGGTTGCTGTGGAACTCATATGCTGCCCTAATTTACATGGGCAATGACCAAACTGTTGTGAACCAGTTCAAAGCCCTAGTATACATACATAAGCAAGTAATTATGTGTAAAAATCTGTAATCTATATTATATGTGTGCATACACACACATACATACATATATATATATATATATATATGTATACATACACAAATTCATGACAACTTAGCACTTTCTCCTGAAATCATCACAGTTTGAATGACACTCACCTGAAACATATCTCCTGTTTTTTATGTTGATCTTTACTGCCATACAATTTGGACATTTCCTCTAACTCGGAGGACCAACTGTCATTCTTCTTGAGTTGGAAAATTATAAGTTCATTGGACAACCCGTCTCCATCATTAACATTTTGAGAGACTGACCCAATAATTCAAGTTGATGTTCACAATATGAAATAAAAAAGGAAACCAATTATCATGGAAAAATGGTTGCTGCAAATAAATAAAGACTAAGCCACAGGTCACAGTTTCAGCACTTTGGCAGTGGTTAGAAAGCAGTTTACAATGAATTGCTTCCATGTGGCCTGAGACTAATGTGACATCAATAGGTGTGATCAAGAGAGCGAAGTAGAAAGGTATGAGACACAAAACACATGTAACAATAAAATGAGAAAACAGTCTCCAAGATCACAGGTGGGAGAGAACTGGTAAAATAGGAAAGGAAGCTCAGGTACCCGTGAAGTTGTGTTCTCAGCCCAGAAGAGACTTTTTCTAGCTGACTGATTCAAGTGTACTTCCCTTCATACAAGGCTGTTGCTTCAAAAGATTCTTGCTTTCCTGATCCTTCCCAACACAACAGCCCTCAACAAGTTAGTCCTACACTGTCCTCAGATCTTGCCCTTGCTTCTCTGGGAAAACAAATGGGCATATCGGACGTGGTGCTCATGGGGACATGCATAGCATGAGGGAAGACGGGGAAGAGCCCCAAACGTTTCCTTGACACTGAGCCCAAATCTCTGCTCTTCAGGGTCTCTGAAAATGGATAGGAGTGAGCTTATGTATAGCAAAATAAGCATGCCGAACCAGTAATCAACACAGTCAAACTCTACTAGGTCCCAAAGCACAAATATGTTAGGGCTTCAATGGGGCCCCTGAAGCCAATTCTTATAACTTACATCACTCAGAATCTTGGGGTTTTGAATCAAGAGAGGAATGAAATGTCACTTTAATACATAGAGACTTATGTTTATGGGGAAGCTGCGATAAGTGAATTCCTTAAACCAAGGGACCATGATTGTTTTCATTAAAAATTTATTCCCATTTCTCAACCCAAATACTGGAGCAAAGTTGATGAGTAAATTATTGGTAGCGCAGTGCCTAAGGCACTGGACTGCTAACCAGAAGGCTGGCGGTTCAAACCCACCAGCCACTCCTCGGAAGGAAGGTTGGGCAATCTACCTCCATAGTGATACCACCTCGGAAACCCAAGGCAGGGTCACTATGAGTTGGCTCCGACTTGACGGCACATAACAACAACAACAACAAAGGAATGTAAAAGGAAAAGAGTATGAAGATGGCATCCTTACCCACAGAGGCCAGGTGTCCCAGGGTTTCCAGCATCACATCTCCATAGAGTTTCCTCTGATCCAGATCCAGCAGAGCCCACTCTTCCTGGGAAAAGACCACGGCCACATCCTCCACGAGCACTGAGTCCTAAAGCAGCCCACAAATTCTGGATCAGCAAGGTGGGAGCATAGACTCAATGAGTATAGAGGAAAGGGGAGGCTGCCAGGACTGGGAACTGAGAACTCACAGGGATCTGACACCAGGTTCTGTGTTCTACCCACATCTACGTCAGTGTACAGCCATCCGCCTCCTCCCCTCGCTAACTACATTCAATTCCTCCCAGACTGCAACCTCTCCTAGAGTTCCAACACAGTGAGATACCCTCTCTACACGGTCACTGTGCCCAACAGCAGTATTATTCCTCACTCTTTATGATGTACAACAATTAGAAAATATGGCAGAAATTAGATAAGAGCTCTCCTTCAGATCATCCCTTCCTTGTGACCAAACAATTACACTTCCTTCCTTAAGACTTACTGAAACACTCAATAAAACATAAACCATACAGGGAAGGCAGTAGATATGAACTGAAAGGCAATGCAAGACAGTAGTGTCTCCATTAGCTGCTCACAGCCATTAGAGGACCAAAGTCCCTCATAAACAAACTGATAACCCAAGGCCCAGAGATGGTGCCAGCTATGAAAGTGACATGAAGAAGTGCCCCAGACATCCAAATATTTTAAAGTCACAAATATACAGAGGAGCTCTGGTGGCATAGTACCTGAGGCATCTGACTGATAACCAGAAGTTTGGCGGTTCAAACCCAGCAGCCACTCCTTGGAAGGAAGACTGGACAATCTACTTCTGTAGCGATACTGTCTGGGAAACCCAAGGAGAGGACGCTATCAGTCAGAGCTGGCTCAATGGCAGTGAGTTTTATATACAGTGGAAGGGCTCAGTGACAGTGGAGCAGGGTATTAGGATGCCCCTTAGGGTTCAGCTTTGGCACCTCTGGCACCTCCTTGGGCACCTTTGTTCTTTGAGGAACCACAGTCCCACAGCACACAGCTGATCCCAAAAAATTCATGTCCAGTCCCACTTACTTATGGTAAGAAGAACCTAGATCTCTGTACAACTCACCATTTCCGGGCTCTGGTATTCAGAGGTCTACAGGAATGTCTGTCGTCCCTAACCCAAGAAGCTACTTCCGGAAGAGGAGGGGAGTGGCAGGAGAGCACTGGGCAGTCTGGAGGCAGATGAATAACGTATAGTCCACACACCGGTCACAGCAATTGAAATCCTTCCTTAGGATTTACGACGTGCAAGATGTTGGCCATAGGCCCCCAGGTACCTTGACTGGACTAGTACTCAGTGCCCCACACTGGAGACCTGAAATGGAATGAAGGATGGGGAGGAGACAGTGGTGAGTCAACAGGAGGGACAGTTGTTGGGCTTCCTCCCAGGCTCAGGGCCATGCTCCACCCTGAGGCCATCTGCACTGGTGAACAGGCTCCAGTCTCCAAAAACACACATGTGCATGCTTCAATGCAGCTCTAAGGGGTTCTTCTTTCTAAAACAAGATGAGAACTGGAATCAGTCATTTTTCTGACTCAGAGCTACCCCTCCTTGGGTTTCTGAGGTGGTATCTCTATGGTAGTAGATTGCCCAACCTTCCTTCCAAGGACTGGCCGGTGGGTTTGAACCTCCAGCCTTCTACTTAGCAGTCAATGCTTTAGGCACTACGCCACCAGAGCTCCTAAAGCATGAGAAGCAACCAGGCCGGTCCAGGCTGGAAATCTGACCCTATCTCCTGCAGGGAGTCAGAACTCCAAAGCTGATATTGTCCTTTATACATCAACACCGACACTGGTATCTGAAATCCCCGTGGAGGAATATGCATGAAGAACATATTTTCAAAATTTGACAGTGAACTCATCATGGCTCATTCATTTTCAACTATGTGCAATTAAAAATCCTATATTGAACTTTTTTAAAAATAAAGGAAATTTAGATACTCTGGGGATACAGAAAGGAAAAGTATGTAGTTCAAAGATTTCATGCCAACCTAGTCTGTCCTAACCAAGAGATATAAAATCCTATTGGATGTACTGCAGTATATAATGAATGGATTTTTGAATGTAACTTTATCTGGATCACCAGGGTATTAACATAAAGAAGGGAAAAAAGATAGGACTACTTCCACTGAGAAGAAAACAGTCAGATAAATTCTAAGTAGGGAGAAAAAAAGAGATTACAGTGTTGTTATTGCATTTCGCAATGATTTCTCAAACACTATACTTCCATTTAGACACTTTAAATTTGCTCCATAGGATTTAAATGCTGTGGCTGTTGGGAAATACATCACCAGGCCTACCTTCCAAGGCGCATCTGTGTGAGTTCGAACTGCCAACATTTCAGGGAGTAATGTCAACCTTTTCTGACTCTTAGGGACTCCCGACCTGACTCCTTTACTCTGTAAACTAATTATGACAAAAGATGAAGTACTCTGTGCGACACTGTTGTGTGATGACCCTCCAGGGCCTACTGAAGGATACTAATTTGTTTCCTTACACAGGCCTCCCATTTCCTACTGTTCACTGCTCTGACACTGGGAATAAAAATGGTTTGTGCTCCAAGGAGGCCTTCTACCTTTAAAGAAGTATGGTTCTCTGGTGGCAAACATTGTGGTTCAATCCACAGTGTTCACTCCTAACAGGAAGAGAAAAACAAAACCACTAAGAAAACTGTCCAAGATTTGCTGGAAGAGAACTTCCCTCAAATGATTAAAGATGAGAATATATCCATTCAGGAAGTCCAATGAACCCCAAACAGGATAGACCCCAAAAGAAAATCACCAAGACATCATCATCAAACTCATCAAAACCAAAGACAAAGACAGAATACGGAAAGCAGCACTGGAAAAACAAAAAGTTACTTACAATGGACAGACAGTAAGAATAAGCTCTGATTTCTCAGCAGAAACCATGCAAGCGAGAAGGCAATGGGATGGTATATATAAAACCCAGAAAGAGAAAAATTTTCAACCAAG